CCATTCTTGAGTCTCTCCTTTGTCATTCCCTCATCTAGTCAGTTACTGAGTCTTGACAATGCTGCCTCCTAAACATTTTTCTAACCTGTCTACAGCTTTTTCCAACCTTACTCACACTGCTAATTCAGGCCACTATCATTTCCTTCTCTAGATCACTGCAATGGTCTTCTCTCTGACTCCCCTCCTTGCCTCCAGTGTAATTCCACGCCCCCTCTAATTCATGATCCACAGTGCAGCTAGAGTGGTCTTAGAAAACAAAATTCCGATCATATCATTTTCCATTATTAAAGAGCTTTAATTGTTCTCTATTGTCCCCAGGATGCACTTTGGCCTCTTCAGCATATTTTCAGCATAGTCCCTTCCCAAGTTCTTTGTCATGTTACAAACTTAAAAGACCTCAGTCTTCTCCAGCTTCATCAGTGCCAGTCCTGCCCCTCATCCCACCCCAGTTCTTGCACTTTATGCTCCAGTCACACCAAACTACTTTAACTCCTTAAATGTCCCTGCTTTCTATAGTGTCGGGGAGTTTGCTCTTACTCTGTCTGCCTGGAACACTCCTGTCATGCCTCTTTATTTTCCTGTCAATTTTAGCCACCCTGCAGGCCAGGGTTCAAACATTACTTCTTCTGTAATCCTACACCCACATACCAACCCCAGATTGTGATTCGGCAGTATCCAGTGCTCATCACTTTTGTAACACTTACCATGTTCTCCTGAGACCTGGCGAATGTACTGTAAGCATCTCGTAGGCGAGGCCTCCTTGTTTTATTGTTGAATTCCTTTGGCCTGGAAAAGTACGTGTCACATAATGGATGCTCAGTAAATATTTGTAGTATCAGTGAATGATTTACTGTAGTTACTTTGGGTACATTTCTCATTAAACCGATTCAGCAAGTGCTGCAGAGCTTGTAGGGAGAGAACCAGAAATTAGGTCAAGGCCTTGCTGTCAGTCTTTTAAAAAAAATTAAAGCAAAAGTTCAGACTTTTGCCATTTTACAAGCCAGCTGTGGGTCTTAATGGGCTTATGGGATAGTATAGCTGAATCTAAACTCCAGCCAGCTGACATAGCCCTTATCCAGGCCTTAAGATTCTTTTTTTTTATAACAGCTTTATTGAGCTATAATTCATATACCACACAATCATTCATTTAAAGTGCAAAATTCAATGGTTTTTAGTATATTCACAGAAATGTGCAGCCATCACCGTAACTAATTTTAGAACATTTTCATCACCCCAACAAGGAGCCCCATGCCCATTAGCAATCACTCTTCATCACGGTCCCTCCCTTGCATCTCCTCCCTCCATCCTCTGGAAACCACTAATCTACTTTTTGTGTCTATGAATTTGCCTGTTCTGAATATTTCATCTAAATGGAATCATACCTTATGTAGTCTTTGTGACTGGCTTCTTTCACTTAGCATAATGTTTCCAAGATACGTCCATATTGTATCAAGTATCAGTACAAGTTCCTGTGTAGACGTATGTTTTTATTTGTCTTGGTTATATAACTTGGGGTGGAATTGCTGGGTCATATGGAGGCCTTAGGATTCTTAAGTACAGACGTTGCTTTAGAGAATTAGCTCACAAACAAAGAAGCAATAATAGTTCTTGCTCTTTAACTTGCTAATTAGTGATAGACAAGTTGTGCAGCTGGTTCTTTGAAGAACTGACTTTAATCAAATTTCTCTGTCTAATATAAAGTACCAAAGAATGTGCAAAGTCTGATTCTCCT